TACCAAGGCTGCCAAAAGTTTGTTTTTGCGGGAAGGAGGGAGATCATGCAGCTATAGCACATTTTGCTCTCATTTCCCAAAGAATCCTAGAGTTGCGCCATCCATTCCAACCTGTTTCTGCCAAGAAGCAGGAAAATTGCCTTCAAAGCACCCCCCGACAGGTGGCCATCCAGCCTCAGTTTCAAAGCCTCCAAAGAAAGAGCCTCCACCACATTCCAGGGCAGAGAGTTCCACTGCTGAACGGCTCTCACAGTCAGGAAGTTCTTCCTCATGCTCAGGTAGAATCTCGTATCTCGTAGTTTGAAGCCATTGCTCCCTTGCATCCTGATCTCCAGGGCACTGAGACACTGAAAGACAACACGAGACGTGGACTGTCTACAGACGTCAAAATGCGAGACATGGACTGTCTACAGACGTCAAAATTGAGATGGAAATGCAACACTGCCTGAGCTCTGCGAGTGCAGCTTTTTTCCGAATGAAGCAGAGAGTGTTTGAGGACTGGGACACCTGTAGGGAGACCAAGAGCCTTCTTTACAAAGCTATTGTCCTCCCAACCCTGCTCTACGCCTGCGAAACGTGGACTGTCTACAGATGTCAACATTGAGACTGAAATACAACACCGCCTGAGCTCTGCGAGTGCAGCATTTTTCCGAATGAAGCAGAGAGTGTTTGAGGACCGGGACATCTGTAGGGAGACCAAGAGGCTTGTTTATAAAGCTATTGTCCTCCCAACCCTGCTATATGCCTGCGAGACGTGGACTGTCTACAGACGTCAAAATTGAGATGGAAATACAACACTGCCTGAGCTATGCAAGTGCAGCTTTTTTCCGAATGAAGCAGAGTGTGTTTGAGGACCGGGACATCTGTAGGGAGACCAAGAGGCTTCTTTACAAAGCAATTGTCCTCCAAACCCTGCTATACGCCTGCGAGACGTGGACTGTCTACAGACGTCAACATTGAGACTGAAATACAACACCGCCTGAGCTCTGCAAGTGCAGCTTTTTTTCCAAATGAAGCAGAGAGTGTTTGAGGACCGGGACATCCGTAGGGATACCAAGGTGCTTGTTTATAAAGCTATTGTCCTCCCAACCCTGCTATATGCCTGCGAGACATGGACTGTCTACAGACGTCACATGCAGCGTTGCCTCCGGAAAATCCTGCAAATCTCTTGGGAAGACAAGTGGACAAATGTCAGCATGCTGGAAGAAGAATTGAAGTGATGGTCCTCCACCATCACCTAAGCTGGACCGGCCACGTTGTCCGGATGCCCGACCACCGTTTCCCAAAGCAGTTGCTCTACTCCGAACTCAAGAACAGAAAACGGAATGTTGGTAGACAGGAAAAGCGATTGAAAGATGGGCTCAAAGCCAACCTAAAAACTCTGGCATAGACATTGAGAACTGGGAAGCCCTGGCCCTTGAGCGCTCCAGTTGGAGGTCAGCTGTGACCAGCAGTGCTGTAGAATTTGAAGAGGCACGAATGGAGGGGGAAAGAGAGAAATGTGCCAAGAGGAAGGCGTGTCAAGCCAACCCTGACCCATCTGGAAACCGATGCCCTCACTGCGGGAGAAGATGCGGGTCAAGACTAGGGCTCTACAGCCACCTGCGGATCCACCTCCAGGACACTGATCCTGGAAGACTATCCTACTCGGACAAGGATCGCCTAAGTAAGTATTGCCCTACATCCGTCTCCCAATCTCCCCCAAAAGCACCTGCGGAAGAAGGGTGCTTGTGGCCCTTTCTCTGTCTCTCTCTCTCACCAGCACCAGCCAAGCCTCCCTGGCTGCGGCCCAGGGCCAAAGCCGCCTTCCTGCCTTGATTTCTTCGGTTGTGGCTGGAATGCAGAGGCGGGTTTGGCCACAAGGCCCTCAAGGAGGGAGTCCAGCCTTTTCCAGCCCGGTCTCCTGTTGACCGCCCGAGAGAAGAGCCTGGAAAGTTCTGACCGGAAAGGCCTGTTCTCGACCAACATGCCCGCCCCCCACACCCGCCGACACCACGTAAACAAGTTTCAAAAGGTAAACACTTCAATGGCCAGCCCTTTGGACAGTGGTCAGCAGAGACTTGGATGCCTCCCATGACTGCCTAGTCAAACTTCAGCCCTCCAGGTGTTTTGGACTCCAGCTCCCACCATTCCTAACAGCCTCAGGCCTCTTCCTTTTGCTGAGGGGGAAAAGGAAAGGGACTGAGGCTGCCGAGGGGGAAAAGGAAAGGGACCGAGGCTGCCGAGGGGGGAAAGGAAAGGGACCGAGGCTGCCGAGGGGGGAAAGGAAAGGGACCGAGGCTGCCGAGGGGGGAAAGGAAAGGGACCGAGGCTGCCGAGGGGGAAAAGGAAAGGGACCGAGGCTGCCGAGGGGGGAAAGGAAAGGGACCGAGGCTGCCGAGGGGGGAAAGGAAAGGGACCGAGGCTGCTGAGGGAAAAGGAAAGGGACCGAGGCTGCCGAGGGGGGAAAGGAAAGGGACCGAGGGTGGGGGGGAAAGGAAAGGGACCGAGGCTGCCGAGGGGGAAAGGAAAGGGACCGAGGCTGCCGAGGGGAAAGGAAAGGGACCGAGGCTGCCGAGGGGGGAAAGGAAAGGGACCGAGGCTGCCGAGGGGGAAAAGGAAAGGGACCGAGGCTGCCGAGGGGGGAAAGGAAAGGGACCGAGGCTGCCGAGGGGGGAAAGGAAAGGGACCGAGGCTGCCGAGGGGGAAAAGGAAAGGGACCGAGGCTGCCGAGGGGGGAAAGGAAAGGGACCGAGGCTGCCGAGGGGGGAAAGGAAAGGGACCGAGGCTGCCGAGGGGGGAAAGGAAAGGGACCGAGGCTGCCGAGGGGGGAAAGGAAAGGGACCGAGGCTGCCGAGGGGGGAAAGGAAAGGGACCGAGGCTGCCGAGGGGGAAAAGGAAAGGGACCGAGGCTGCCGAGGGGGGAAAGGAAAGGGACCGAGGCTGCCGAGGGGGGAAGGAAAGGGACTGAGGCTGCCAAGGGAGAAAAGGAAAGGGACTGAGGCTGCCAAGGGAGAAAAGGAAAGGGACTGAGGCTGCCAAGGGAGAAAAGGAAAGGGACTGAGGCTGCCGAGGGGGGAAAGGAAAGGGACTGAGGCTGCCGAGGGGAAAAAGGAAAGGGACTGAGGCTGCCGAGGGGGAAAAGGAAAGGGACTGAGGCTGCCGAGGGGGGAAAGGAAAGGGACTGAGGCTGCTGAGAGGGAAAGGGAAAGAGACTGAGGCTGCTGAGGAGGGAAAGGAAAGGGACTGAGGCTGCTGAGAGGGAAAAGAGACTGAGGCTGCTGAGGGGGGAAAGGAAAGGGAGTGAGGCTGTTGAGAGGGAAAAGGAAAGAGTCTGAGGCTGCTGAGGGGGGAAAGGAAAGGGACTGAGGCTGCTGAGGGGAAAAAGCAAAGGGACTGAGGCTGTTGACCCTTCCGGATGGCCTCAGGTGGCCCCGCAATGCAAGATCCATTCACTGAGAACAAACCCAAAGCAGGGATCACAAGGTTATAAAATCTCAAAACCCTTTATTATTGGTTGCTTGTGTTCAAAACGTGTCTTCCCCATTCCCCCCTCCCTCCCTCCCCCCAAAAACCGCTTACATTCTTAAATGGAGACCCTCTCCTCCCCCCACCCAGTTCTTTGATATGTACAAGGATCTGAATAAGGCTGCATAAGGCACCCCTCTGCGTGGAAACGGGCCCGAAAAGCGGGGCTCAAAGTGGGGGGGGGGGGGGGGCCAACGTCTCTTTGTCTGGAAGCAATATCAACAACAACAACAACAACAGAAGAGAAGAGCGCCCCGAAACAAAGGCCTGGCGAGGCCCTTCATGGCTTGGGGCCCAACCTGGAGGGAGGGGCTTGTTTATCGGGGGGGGGGGGGGGGAGATGTGGGTTTTCTATGGAGAATCCCTGCTTTGTTTAATTTTTAGTCGAAGGCACCGTGAGGCTGCCGTCCTCCCTGGAGGGCCGTTTCCGGCCACTTCCTGGGAGCGGAAGAAAGGAATCCAAAGGAGGCACTGAAGGCTCCCCCAAAATGTCATTGTCGTTGGCGGGAGGCAGAGGGAGGGGCTGAATGGAGAAAATGAGAGGAGCCCAAGGGGGGGGGGGCGCCCCTTCTTTTCTCCCCTCCCCCCAAACCCAGGAACAGGAACTTATTGAACAGGCACTTAGAGGCCCCATAAGACACCCCCCCCCAATAACCCCATTGCCCCCCAGCAAGACCTGGGGGAGCGGCTGCCATGCGCAACGGGTCCAGAGGCCCCCGCTGCTTCTTTTTTGGTTAAGTAAAGGGATGGACTTGGGGGGGGGGGGATTTCTTTGGAGGGAGGGGCTCAATGTCAGATTGCAGGAGGGGCCACAAAAGAGAGAGGAGGGGGTTTCCTGCCCACTTTGATGGCAAGGAAAGGGAGGGGGGAAGGACTCGGTCTCTCTTCAGAAAATAAGGCAAGAAAGGGGGGGCGCTCATGGCGTGCCTCCCCCTCCCCGCCTCCCAGGCACAGGCACCCCTCTTAGTGCTATTTTGGACGTGCAATTGTGGGGGGGAGGGGCTGCAGATATGGCTAATTCTCCTTCCAGTCCCATTTGGGGGGGGGGGTCCTGAAAAGTCTTATCTTGTGCTTCTTCTCACCAATGGGAGGGGGCTGCAAGGGGGGGGGGCAAGAAAAGAGACAGAAACCAGGGTGGGAGCTTTTGCAAGACCACCTGGATGCCCCCCCCCCCCCCCCCCCCAAGAAAGGCAAAGGAAGGAGGGCAGGGTTTCTTTCCTGCTCTTTTTTTCCTGATTTGTTTATCTCTCATTAACAACAACAACAACAACAACAACAACAACAATAAAAAGGCCTTGGAACTGCATTTGGAGGGAAACCAGGGGGGGGGGTGTTACCTAAAAGTTGCACCAACATACTTTTATAAATCCCCCCACCCCTGCAAAGTTTATATATAATATATATATAGAGTCATATTTATAATTATATATACGCTTATAGACAAGTAAAAACTGCTTTGATATTCCCCCCACCCCACCCTACCCCCCCCCCCCCGTTTGTTGTTTTTCCTGGCGTCCAGAAAAAATAATAATAAAGAAGAAACAACAAAATGTCCAGTTTGGGGACAAAACAGGGAGGGAAGGAGGTGGGGAGTCTCGTGGGGGGAGGAGGAAAGGCAGGTCATCTCTGAGTTAAGGCAGCAAGAGCCGTGCCCCTCGGCGGTCAGTCCGTCCATCCATCCGTCCACTGGTTGGCCGGTCTCTCTGGAGGCCGGCTCTAGGAATCCCGGTTCTCCAGGGTCAGTTCGGCCGTCGCCCGCTGCAACTCAGTGCTGATCCGCCGGCCGCCCGGCCCCATCCCTGTCCCGACCCCGTTGTCCTCGCTCTCCTCCCCCTTGACCTTCTTGTCGTCCGTCTCCTCGGTCCCCACTCCGGCCTCCAGCCGCTGGTCCTCGCTCCAACGGCGCTTGAAACGCAGCTTCAGCGGGATGCATTTGCCGCTCTCCGCCGCGGACGACGACAACGGCATCGGGGGTTCGGCCACCACTGCGGCCGCAACCTGAGCTTCTCCCACCTCCTCCTCTGGTTCCTCGGCCTTTTCGGGGGGTGCTGTGGGGGGCTTGAAGACCTCCTCGTCGTCATCATCCTCGCTGATGTCGGTCACTTCGACGGTGAGGTCCTCCTCCGACTCCCCCTCCGAAATGGGCTCCACCTTGATCTGGGGTAAAAGCGGCGGGAGCGATGGCATCTCCGCGGCGGAAGAGGGACCCCCGTTGGAGGGCTCGCTGGGGGCCGTGGCGGAAGGCGGGGCCTGTTGCTTGTCGCGGTTCCGTCGGCCGAGGGGCGGGGGCTGGAGCTTGAACTTGAAGGGGGCGGGGGGCTCCTCGGCCTGCGGGGGTGGCAGCGGGGGTGGCAACGGGGGCTTCTCCAGGCGCTGGGGCTGCGGGATGACGATGGTGCTGGGGTAGTGGAGGAAGGCCCGGGGGCTGAGGTGGTAGTTGTAGACGCTCTGCGTGTGGGCCTGCAGGTAGCGCTTCATGTCCTCGGCACTGAACGAGAAGTGGGAGCCCCCACTGCCGCCGCCGCCCCCTCCGGGGGGGAACATGGGGCTGAGGGTGGGGGACGGGGTGTAGTTCAGGTGGGAGGGGGTCAGCGGCAGTGCCGGAGAGAGCTGCGGGGGCGGCAGCAGGGCGGCCGGCCCGGCCAGCGGGGAGACCGGGAAGGGGCTGAGGGGCTCGGGGGCCAGCCGCGGGCGGGGGTACACCCGGAAGAGGCTCTCGTGGGCCAGCCGCGGGTGGCCCGGCAGCGGGGGCCCGCGGAAGCCCACCTCCCCCCCTCCGCCACGCCGCTGCTCCTCGGCCAGGGACTCCTCCACCTCCGAGTTGGCCGAAGTGCCGTCACTGCAGTCGCTGACCGAGCCACGGGCCAGGCGCCTGGCCACAGCCGAGAAGACCCCCGGAGAGCGCAGGTCCTCGGAGGGCGAGAGGAGGTCGGAGGGCGTGGAGGGCGGGAAGCGGAAGTGCGAGCCGCCCGAGGGCACCGGAGGAGCGCTCTGCGGCACCGCGCCACCTGCGGAGACACAAGAAGGAAGCTGTGGTCACCTTGCAGTCACGTTACGGTCGGTCCTTCTCGCCAAGGAAAACCATCATCAGCTTGCCTTCAGAACTTGGACACACAACTTGGAGGAAGTGTAATGAAGGAACACAAGCGAGAGAATGCAGGCCTCTCCCCATACGTTGTGGCAGCACAAAACTGGACCACAGGGGCTTCTGCTCCGACACGGGACCTCAGTGAGTTCGGGCCCCACAGATTCCATAGGGTTTTCCCAGCACAGCATACAGCCCACAAGCCGCTTGCAGCCCACCAAAGGATTTTGTGCAGCCCACGAAAAATGTATAGCTATGAGTACTTTGTGCCTTTCCTGTGAACTGAGGCTGTCCTACTTCACCCGCCTCCCACTCGTCCCTATCGCACCCATCATGTGCGGGCCTCTACTGTGCACTTTCTCCTCCTTGTCACGAGACCTGCGGCCACCAACCATTGTCACTCTGTCTCTACTCTGACCAAAGTTGACCAAGGACCCCAAAGATCACTCTGACCAAAAAGGTCATGAGTTCGAAGCCAGCCCGGGTTGGAGTGGGTTTCCAACCAATTGTGTGTAGCCTGTTGTCGACCTTTGCAACCCGAAAGACAGTTGCATCTGTCAAGTAGGAAAATAAGGTACCACCTTAAAAAGTGTGGGGAGGCTAAATTAACTGATTTATGAGGCCATAAAGAAGACTCCAGCAAAGCATTCCAGCGGGGAAGCATGCGGGGAATGCGGAAGTGCTTCATCAGCGTCGCAGATGGACGATGAAAGCGACAGGAAAAGTTAAATAGCCTCTGTGTATGTCTGTATATGTTTGTATGTCAAAAATTGGCACTGAATGTTTGCCATATATGTGTACACTGTAATCCGCCCTGAGTCCCCTGCGGGGTGAGAAGAAGGGCGGAATATAAAAGCTGTAAATAAATAAAAAAAAAAAAAACAGAATGTAGGTGGACAGAAAAAGAGTTAATGATGGGCTCAAAGCCAACCTTAAAAACTCTGGCATAGACACTGAGAACTGGGAAGCCCTGGCCCTTGAGGACTCCAGCTGGAGGTCAGCTGTGAACAGCAATGCTGCAGAATTTGAAGAGGCACAAATGGAGGGCAAAAGGGAGAAACATGCCAAGAGAAAGGCGCGTCAAGCCAACCCCGACCGAGACCGCCTTCCACCTGGAAACATGCCCTCACTGTGGAAGAACATGTGGGTCAAGAATAGGGCTCCACAATCACCTACAGACCCACTGCACACTGACCTTGGAGGATCATCCTACTTGGACAACGAGGGATCGCCTAAGTAAGTCAGTCTACTCTGATGCTCTCCATCTTATCCTTCATTTGAAGGTTAACTCTACTGTTATCCCGCCCGAGCCCCACAAGTCATAGAGCACTTTCTATCTCTCTCACCCTCGGGTACTAGCCGTCCCCTGCCACGTGTTGCTGTGGCCCAGTATGTGTATATGTGCTTTGTGTGTATATAAATTTGTGTATATGTGTATATAAGTGTGTTTTGTACATGTGTTGTAATGTATTTTTATGTTTTTGGTTTTAAGTCCTTCTACTGTGTTTTCCAGTGTTTTATGAGTGATGGTCACTCTGGCCTGAGAGGGGTCTTGTGTCCAAATTTGGTGTCCATTCGCCCAGTGGTTTCTGAGTTCTGTTAATCCCACAAACAAACATGACATTTTTATTTCTATAGATTTTATTTGATGTTTTTGTTTTGTTTTATATGTACTTTTCCTCTATTGCAATTTGTTTGGGCTTGGCCTCGTGTTAGCCACCCTGAGTCCCTCCAGGGAGACGGTCGTGGGGAATAAATAAAGTTTATTATTATTATTATTATTATTATTATTAGTTGGGGAGGAGCAAGGGCAGTTGTATCTTTGGACCTTACTAGGCTTTGAGTGCAGATGGGCACCAAGGGTTGAGTGCAGATGGGCACCATCGCAGCTCAGAGAGCCTGGCACAAGAAAGCCACCTGGGCAGACCTTTAAGCAGAGGCCAAGGTGCCCCCCCCCCTGATCCTCTGTCAGCACAACCTGACACCCCGACCCCCCTTCAAACATGGCCCCACCCACTCACCTGCCATCCCCATGTCGATGAAAGGGTAGTTGACCAGCACCAACTTGTTAAAGTTGAACTTATAGGTGAAGCGTTTGCCTTTGGTCTTGTGCAGGATCCGCTTGTTGTAGTAATACCTGGAGGAGGAGGAGGAAGCGGAGGAGGAGGAGGAAGTGGAGGAGGCGGAGGAGGAGGAAGTGGAGGAAGTGGAGGACGAAGAGGAGAAGTGGAAGAGGAGGAAGGGAAGAGGAGGAAGGGAGAGAAGAGGAGAGGAAGAGGAGGAAGGGAGGAGGAAGGGAGGAGGAGGAAGCGGAGGAGGAGGAGGAAGTGGAGGAGAAGGAGGAGGAAGTGGAAGAGGAGGAAGTGTAGGAGGAGGAGGGGGAAGTGGAGGAGGAGGAAGCGGAGGAGGAAGTGGAGAAGTGGAGGAGGAATAAGTGGAAGAGGAGGAAGTGGAAGAGGAGGAAGTGTAGGAGGAGGAGGAGGAAGTGAGGAGGAGGAAGTGGAGGAGGAGGGGAAGGGAAGTGGAGGAGGAGGAAGTGGAGGAGGAGGAGGAAGTGGAGGAGGAGGAAGTAGGAAGAGGAGAAGAAGTGGAGGAGGAGGAGGAGAAGGAAGCGGAGGAGGAGGAATAAGTGGAGGAGGAGGAAGTGGAGGAGGAGGAATAGGAGGAGGAGGAAGTGGAGGAGGAGGAATGGGAGGAGGAGGAAGGGAGGGAGGAGGAAGGAGAGGAGGAGGAATAAGAGAGGAGGAGGAAGTGGAGGAGGAGAAGAAGTGGAGGAGGAGGAGTAGGAAGAGGAGGAGGAAGTGGAGGAGGAGGAATAAGCGGAGGAGGAGGAGGAAGCGGAGGAGAAAGCAAAGTCAGGACCATCAGGACAATTGGAGGCCCAGCCTCAGTGGAGCGAGTCAACAATGGAGACAAGCCCTGGCCAGTGCCGGACATGATGATGGCCCTGCTCCATTCAGAGAAGGGACATGTTCTGTGGGCTATGGAAGCGGAAGCACTGCACCCCCTCCCGCAAGGGCCACATAGGAGCCAAAACCCCCTTCGTGAAGGAGGAAGCGGCAGGCCGTGGGTGGCCTCCGCGTGGGAAGAGCGTCGCCTGGAGCTGACGCAGGAGAACACCCGCAAGAGGGAATTTCCGCCGGCCCCGAAGACAGAAGCAAAGGGAAACAGGCAGTTTCGTGGCTGTCACACGGGAGCGGCCTTGTCCCTTCCTTCCCAGTGAAGGGGCCCCTACCCTTTGGGGCCCCAATGCCCCCCCCCTTTGAAGTGCCCCCCCTTGCTCCCACCTGAGTGCGCGGCTGAGCTTGTCGTAGTTCATCTGGGGCTTGCACTTGCGCACCCCCCAGAGCCGGGCCACCTCGTCGGGGTCCTTGATGACGAACTCCCCGTAGTCTCCCTGCCAGGCGATGACCTCATGGTACTCCTCTTTGCGCAGCAGCTCCAGGATGAAGTGCCAGAGCTGGATCTGCCGCGAGCCCGGGCTCGACTCTGGCTTGTAGGCCCAGTCCGGGAAGGCGAACCCTGGCAAAATAGAGGGGGGAGAGAGAGAGGCATGAGACCCCAGAGGCAAGGAAAGGCAAAGTGGGAGGGGAGGGGAGGGGAAGGGAGGGAGGGGGCCACCCCACCTTGGCCGTGCGCCTGCCCCTACCTCCCTCCCCGCCCTGCATCCCAGCGGACAGAGCGAGCGCCAGAGGCAACCGCGGCTGCAACTTCTAAGACTTCTCCTACCAGGAGGAAAGGGAGGGGGGGAGAGAGAGGGGGAGGGGAGAGGAGAGGGGGAGGGGGAGAGTGGGGAGGGGAGAAGGAAGGGGAGGGAGGGAGGGGGAGGGAGGGAGGGGAGGGGAGGGAGGGGAGGGGGGAGGGAGGAGGGGAGGGGGGGGGAGGGGGGGGGGAGGGAGGGGGGGGGGAGGGGGGGGGAGGGGGGGGGGGGGAGGGGGGGGGGGGGGGGGAAGAAGGGGGGAAGAGAGGGAAGGAAAGTGGGAAGGAAGGATGGAGGGGTGAAAAGGTGGAGAGAATGTGGGGGGGGGGGGAGGGGGGGAAACAGGAAACCGGCTGCCCAGCCATGGCTGCCTCTGCGCCGCCAGCTCTGCCCCCCCCTTCTCCCTCTCTCCCTCTCTCAGGAGGCATCTGGGAGGACGGCCAAGCCGCCTTGCAACTTCCAGGCGAGGTCCCAACCAGATCCTCCTCCTCCTCTTCTGCTGCTTCCAAAGCGTGGGAGGAATCAGAGAATTGGGGACCCCTCCCTACCTGGAGGAAAGGCTCCAGACACACACACGCATACAGAGCGAGAGTTTGGGGGCACTTTGCAAACTCTGGGTTGGGCACAGAGTGTAAGCAAATAGTATTTTGGCATCCCCCCCCCTCCCCAACCAATCACTGATATATAATATTGAGTATTCGTGCCACGTTTGGTCCAGATCCATCATTGTTTGAGTCCACAGTGCTCTCTGGATGTAGGTGAACTACAACTCCAAAACTCAAGGTCAATGCCCACCAAACCCTTCCAGTATTTTCTGTTGGTCATGAGAGTTCTGTGTGCCAAGTTTGGTTCAATTCATCCTTGGTGGAGTTCAGAATGCTCTTTGATTGTAGGTGAACTATAAATCCCAGTAACTACAACTGGCATATGTCAAGGTCTATTTTCCCCCAAACTCCACCAGTGTTTATATTTGGGCATATTGGGTATTTGTGCCCAGTTTGGTCCAGATCCTTCATTATTTTGAGTCCACAGTGCTCTTTCTATGTAGGTGAACTACAACTCCGAAACTCAAGGTCGATGCCCACCAAACCCAGTATTTTCTGTTCGTCGTGGGAGTTCTGTGTGCCATATTTGGTTCAATTCCATCATTGGTGGAGTTCAGAATGCTCTTTGATTGTAGGTGAACTATACATCCCAGTAACTACAACTCGCATGTGTCAAGGTCTATTTTCCCCCAAGAGCGCCTCAAGAGCGCCCCTGGGCAAAATCAACTATACTGCAAATGCTTACTTTGCGTAATGGGTTGAGCCGCCCCTGGCCCTAGATGGTCCATGTGGACACCCCCCCCCAAAAAAACAACACACTACGCATGTCCCGCTTGTGCCAAAGTATGCTCAACGTGCAAGAACAGGGAAAGAGGGCGAGACAGGAGGGGGGGCCACAATGTGAAATCAGGGACTGGGAAAAGAGGGAGTCTCAACATGTTTGGGAGTGTGCAGAGGGAGGGAGGGGGGGCTCCCTTTTATCCTTTGTGTGCTTGCTGCCATGTTCTCTCTCTCACTCCTGGGCAAGCAGTGGAGTGGGGGGGGGGGGCTATGGCTAGCGGCTGAGGTCAGCAGCTCCAGACAAGGGGCCCTTTTTTCCAGCCATGAGGCTCCAGCCGCCCAGGCATTCCTGGGGAGGGAGGGAAGGGGGGAGGAGGAGAAAGCCTGCAGAGCCCTCCCTTCCTGCTCCCCCCCCTATGGAAACCCTGCTGGCCCCAGGGCTCAAGGACGGCCTTTGACCCAAGACCCCCCCCCCACCTCCCCAAAACAACCCCATGGAGCAAAGCCAGAGGAGGAAGGGGCTTCACCCTCACTCTTTTGCAAACAGGAAGTCCAAGAGGGACAACAATAGGACCTTTCCCAGCATGCCCTGCAGCTGTGTCCCGTAAACAAAGCGGTCCTCCCAGTCAAGGAGATATTTTGGGAAGGAAGGAAGGAAAGGAAGAGAGCCGCTCTGTAGAGAATATGCAGGCACTCGGGGTTTGTTTTCTTTGTTTTGGACGTGTCAGGAGCAACTTGAGAAACTGCAAGTCGCTTCTGGTGCGGGAGAATTGGCCATCTGCAAGGACGTTGCCCAGGGGACGTTGCCGGGATGTTTTGATGTGTTACCATCCTTGTGGGAGGCTTCTCTTGAATGCAATATTCCTCTTGAATGCAATATTCCTGCTCTGTACACAAGATGCAAGCACCCAGGGTTTGTTTATTTTTTGTTTTGGACGTGTCAGGAGCGACTTGAGAAACTGCAAGTCGCTTCTGGTGCGGGAGAATTGGCCGTCTGCAAGGACGTTGCCCAGGGGACGTTGCCGGGATGTTTAGATGTGTTACCATCCTTGTGGGAGGCTTCTCTTGAATGCAATATTCCTCTTGAATGCAATATTCCTGCTCTGTACACAAGATGCAAGCACCCAGGGTTTGTTTATTTTTTGTTTTGGACGTGTCAGGAGCGACTTGAGAAACTGCAAGTCGCTTCTGGTGCGGGAGAATTGGCCGTCTGCAAGGACGTTGCCCAGGGGACGTTGCCGGGATGTTTAGATGTGTTACCAGCCTTGTGGGAGGCTTCTCTTGAATGCAATATTCCTGCTCTGTAGACAATATGCAGGCACCCAGGGTTTGTTTATTTTTTGTTTTGGACGTGTCAGGAGCAACTTGAGAAACTGCAAGTCGCTTCTGGTGCGGAGGAATTGGCCGTCACGTTGCCCAAGGGACGTTGCCCGGATGTTTTGATGTGTTACCATCCTTGTGGGAGGCTTCTCTCATATCCCTTTTGCATGGGAGCTGGAGCTGACAGAGGGAGCTCATCCACACACTCCCCGGATTCGAACCTGCAACCTGTCGATCTTGAGACGGATGTTTTGATGTGTTACCATCCTTGTGGGAGGCTTCTCTCATGTCCCCTTTGCATGAGGAGCTGGAGCTGACAGAGGGAGCTCATCCACACACTCCCCGGATTCGAACCTGCAACCTGTCGATCTTGAGACGGATGTTTTGATGTGTTACCATCCTTGTGGGAGGCTTCTCTCATGTCCCCTTTGCATGAGGAGCTGGAGCTGACAGAGGGAGCTCATCCACACACTCCCCGGATTCGAACCTGCAACCTGTCGATCTTGAGACGGATGTTTTGATGTGTTACCATCCTTGTGGGAGGCTTCTCTCATATCCCTTTTGCATGGGAGCTGGAGCTGACAGAGGGAGCTCATCCACACACTCCCCGGATTCGAACCTGCAACCTGTCGATCTTGAGACGGATGTTTTGATGTTTTACCATCCTTGTGGGAGGCTTCCCTCATGTCCTTGCATGGGGGGCTGGAGCTGACAGAGGGAGCTCATCCACATTCTCCCTAGATTGGAACCTCCGATCTTGAGACGGATGTTTTGATGTGTTACCATCCTTGTGGGAGGCTTCTCTCATGTCCCCTTTGCATGAGGAGCTGGAGCTGACAGAGGGAGCTCATCCACACACTCCCCGGATTCGAACCTGCAACCTGTCGATCTTGAGATGGATGTTTTGATGTGTTACCATCCTTGTGGGAGGCTTCTCTCATGCCTCCTTTGCATGGGGAGCTGGAGCTGACAGAGGGAGCTCATCCACACACTCCCCAGATTCGAACCTGCAACCATGCTCTAGGCTAGTGCAGGGAGATCGTGGTGCACCACGGCAGCAAATGCACCATAGGCAAGCTTCCTCTTGTGCAACTGCAGACCCCTGCCCCAAATGTAGGAAGCACTCTTTCCCAGGAGGGTGGTCTTCTGGGACTGCTCCCCCTCCTCCTCCTCCCCCCACTGAACTTAAGGGAGGAGGGGAAGAAGGAGGGCGGGGGGGGGGGTCTGCGGTTTCCCATTTCCCAAACCCCAGGCGCTCTGAGCCCATCAATAATTCAGGGCCCTGTAATGGAGGCCGGGACGCGGGCGCCAGCTCAAGGGCATCGCAGAGACGGAGCCATTAGGGCGGTGATGTCATCCTGGCAGCCGAGGGGGGGGGGGCAGGCGGGGGGGGCAAGGCAGGATGGACCCACAAGTGCCGCAATGGGGAGGAATGCGGGGCGCCCCACACCCCCAAACTGGCCCGTTGATACGGGGCGCACGAGGGCCACCCCACAAATCCAGAAGTGGGGCGCCCCAGGGCAAGTCGAGCACCCTTCTTGTGCGCCACACTCACGGGCACTGCCACACACATCCCTCACACGAACATGGGGAGGAATGCGGGGGCCCCGCATCCCCAAACTGGCCCGTTGATACGGGGCGCACGAGGGCCACCCCACAAATCCAGAAGTGGGGCGCCCCAGGGCAAGTGGAGCACCCTTCTTGTGCGCCACACTCACGGGCACTGCCACACACATCCCTCACACGAACATGGGGAGGAATGCGGGGGCCCCGCATCCCCAAACTGGCCCGTTGATACGGGGCGCACGAGGGCCACCCCACAAATCCAGAAGTGGGGCGCCCCAGGGCAAGTGGAGCACCCTTCTTGTGCGCCACACTCACGGGCACTGCCACACACATCCCTCACACGAACATGGGGAGGAATGCGGGGGCCCCGCATCCCCAAACTGGCCCGTTGATACGGGGCGCACGAGGGCCACCCCACAAATCCAGAAGTGGGGCGCCCCAGGGCAAGTGGAGCACCCTTCTTGTGCGCCACACTCACGGGCACTGCCACACACATCCCTCACACGAACATGGGGAGGAATGCGGGGGCCCCGCATCCCCAAACTGGCCCGTTGATACGGGGCGCACGAGGGCCACCCCACAAATCCAGAAGTGGGGCGCCCCAGGGCAAG